AATCTTGAATTTTTTGTACCAAAATTTCTAGAACTTTTCGTACCAAAAATTAAAGTTATTAAAAAAGCTTTTAAATTTTTATAAAACTTTGAAACAATGATATTTTTGTAAGCTTTGACAATTTTGAGAAAAAAAGACATTTTTTGAATTTAATTTTTTGTATATTTAAAAATTTTGAACTTTTTTTAAAAAGCATTTGTCGTGCTTTAAATTGCTGGAACTTCCCGTACGGAAAAATAAAATTTTTAAAAAAGCCTTTAAATTTTTTGAAAACTTAAAAAATTTGATTTTTTAAAGTTTTGAATATTTTGAAAAAAAAAAGACTTGAAAAATGTGATTTTTTGTATATTATGAAGATTTTGTACTTTTTTTCGAAGCAATCGTGCTGTGTGGCTGTTTTAGAGAAGAAATATCGAAGCGCGTAAGCGCCGCGTAGCAGTCTAACAGATAAACATTGTTACTGAACCCATAGAAATGTAAACAAAATTTATACTCTATAAATATCTTTTAATTTGATGTCCATGATCATTTTTGACCCCAAAATAGCAACTTTTTTTCACTTTATTTAATCGATTTCCAAAACCGAAACTCCTGCCTTCCAAAAAATTTAATAATTTCTAAATTTTGTCAAAACAAATAAAATGTTTTTTTAATTTATTGAAACCGGACTCTCCGTTCTCTCAAAAACACATTTCTATTTTCTACACTCTTTGCTCCCTTATCTCTGAAACGGTTGGACCTGCCTCTGCCAAAAACTAATCAGCATATCACCTTAGCGATAGGAATCGAATGTGTTTTGAATTATTCAAATCGGTTGATCGAGATCGGTGTTCCTGAAATCGTCGACAAAAATTTGTAAAGCAAACACACACACACACACACACCGTATGCCAGAATGTTCAGAAACCCCTGAAACGTAAAGATATATAAAAATTTTCATTTTCGATTTTTTGCGATTACTATAACTCACCCTACGGGAAGTTAAATAGATTTTTCAAAAAGACCAATTTTTCTCAAAAATTTTTAAAATCTCAAAAATCTATTTTTTTCAAAGTTCTAAGAAAAAATTGAATCTTTTTTAAAAAATTAAATTTTGGTACGGAAAGTTCCAGCAATTTGCTTTAAGGCACGATGTCATGCACCACTAGTTTGCAAATTATCAAGAACAATTTAATCCTTTATCCACTTTGGAAAATAGTCCTTCATTAAACTTCTGTTCTGCTGCTCCACCTGCTCCTGGCGGAGTTAATTGAAACGGAGACAACTCGCCGAGCGAATTAACTCGAAAACTTTTCGTCACTCTGATTCACAAAATGTTGAAATTAATTAGCTCGACTGATTAATTTAATTTAGGCATCAAGTTGGACTTGCAACGAAGTAGGAATGTGTTTACTTTAATGGATTTTTTTCCTATATATAATAATCTATTATACTTCCCCGTCCCCAGAGAGATGTGGTACAGTTTAGACTTTTAACCGCAACGCGGTCGTAAATTTTTAAGCCCTCGGGCTGCTGCAGGAGGTGCAGCAAGGGAAAGCCCTTTCGTCCCGCCATCGAGAACGCCCGCGGCCTAAGTACGGAACCCTACCGGGAATATTATTGCGGATATAAATGTATCTACATATTATATTAAATGGACTTATATATTATATACTTATATGTATAAAAGAACCCACATAAATGTACACATTTATACTTATTATTATAATTTTTATAAAATATCTAATAATACGATGTACATAGGTCTAATGTTCATTTTTGACCGCCAAATGTCATAATTTTTTACTTTTTTTATTGGATCTCCGGAGATGCTAAACTTTATAAAAATTTTACCAGTTGTTCATTTCGTCAATACGAGTAAAATGTTTTTTTTAAATTATTCAAATCGTACGCTCCGTTATCTCAGAAACTGCAATACCATTTTTGGCACTTTTTGCCGGTATCTCCAAAACGGCTAGATTTGCCTCTGCCAAAAACTAATCAGCAAGTCTCTTCATTAGTAGGAATTGAATGTTTTTTTAATCATTGGGTTCATCCGTGTTCCCGAAATCGTTAACGAAAATTTGTATACGCACACACAAACACACACATACATCCATTTTTTTAGCAAATTATTTAGCATCATACACGATTATAAAAAACAAACTCAAATTCGCTTTAAATTGAGAAGGAAAATTCTACTGATACAGAAAATGCATCAGATGACGAAGAATTAATTTTGATTATAAATTTCCTGTTTCTGGTAGGTCGTGTCTAATTTTTTGTGCCTAATATTGTTTGAATTCAAAAGAGTTAAAAAATTTTTTGGCGATCCTGTATTTACGAAATCCAAATCGATGATCAGAAAAGATATTAGAATCCTTCAGAATATTCTGAAGTAAAAGCTTTTCTAGAATTTTGGCAATATAGAGAGAAGGCCGATTTTTTTAACAATTTTCGTTAAATATGTCTTGAAATTATTTGGCCAATAGTCGAATCTCATTATAGCATTGAAAAAATAGGTGATTGTGATAAATCCATTTATACGTAATTATTTGAGAAAAAAATTGCATCATGTCTCGGCGTGAAAAGACTGATTGACTGAAAACAAGAGGAACTAAAGAAAAAAACTTTACTGACGAACAAATTTATTAGAAAAATTGATCTCCATTGACTATAAAGTCACATAAAGAGGACTCGACTGACGAGCGAACTGTGTCTCGATGTGGAAAAGAAATATCTGAAGTAAAATACTAAATGTTTACAATATGTAAAGCAATTTTATTCTAGTTAATTATTATAAATAAACTTGAGAAAAGATCAGAATAATATTTTTCGTATCGGCTTGTTTTTGAACAAATAAATAAAGGGTCTCTAAATTGACCATTACGAAATAATCATTTGTGATAGGACGGTGAAAATTTAGGGCTATATAGGTTTTCAATCATACATTATAAAAACATAAAATAAAATAAATTGGTCTAAAACAAATTAAATGATTGCCACTCAGCAGTATTAACATTGCATTACAATAGGTCAAGCCGTTTTGAAGGAGTATGACCACTATCACTATAGAAAATATATATATATATATATATATATATACATACATTTATATTTATCCTTTATCCTTCGTATGTACACAACCTATTAAATTACACCGCACCGCACCGTCAGCGAACCGCGCCAAATTTTAAATTGCCTTCTTCTTCAAATATTAAATATTAAATCACATGTCGGCTGTTAGTACTAGTACAAAAGCCTCTTTCCTCTTTCGTAGGGGAAAGGGCGCCCCTTTTTCCCGAAGACGGAAAATAAAAAATCTCACCCTCCACACCGAGCAAAAGAGCCGAACAGAAAATGGCCGCTGGCTTAATATTCCGTAATGGCAGACGATAAAAACCATCTGTCAAAAGAAAATAGGATAATCTTTTAAAATGTATAAAACGACGAGAACCGAGATATATAAATGTATAGGTATATATATATATATATATATATATATATATTTATATATATTTGAACAGTCTTGAATTTGATGTTGATATAATATATTTAATTTGAGTTAAAACGTACTACTTTATATCGGAGAAACTAGCCAAAACCTGAGTAAGCGCCTTCATCGACATAAAAATAACTCGAAAAATCCCAAACAATTTAAAACCATGTTAACCGACCATATAAATAATTTAAATCATAATATAGATTTTTTCAACCCAAAAATTTTACATTTTGAGGAGAACGTAATTAAAAGAAGATTCGGTGAGGGATTGTTTTTGCAATTGCATAACGGCATGGTCATAAACAAGCGATTTGACAACATGGCCCTGAACGAAACAAACACGTGGTTCCTAAATAGCGTGTTAAAATTTCTTAAAAAATGACAAGATTTCATCGCTTTTTTAATTTCTCGTAAAATTTGAACACATGCTAAAAACTGTTTCAACATTCAATTAGCCAATAAGATAATTTGCAATTTAGAAGTTGAAAAGACAACTTTACGGAGCATTCGGATTTTCAACATAAGAAAGAACGTATGTGGAAAAAAGAGAACCTACTGATGACCAACTGCAAGATTAGAAGATGCAAAAGAAAGACCAGATAATTAATTAATTATTTAATTAACAACTAAGTACATAAAAAAACAGCTAAAGGAGAAACTCTACTTACAGCAAATTAAATAAAGACCAAGAAAATAACAAAGCAGCATATTTAGCAGCAATTGTGAAGATAGAAAGAAGATTTTACTCGAAATATTGACCAAGAAGTTAAAAAAAGAGGCTTTCAATGATGGAATTTATTTATTATTTATAAACTCTAGTATAAACTCACAAAATATCTACTGTAAAAACTGTATTATTAAAATTTTGTTAATAAAATTTGATGTAATGACCTAACGTTTTTATGATATATATTTCCAATTGACCAAAAAGACAATTATAGGACTTTACTTACGAAAAATGAAAAAATAAAGATTTTACTGAGCGAATTAGAAAAGAAAAGAAGACTCTACTGAGGAGCAAATAAAAAAATGGCTAAGAGATGTGAAAGGGACTCTACTGACGAGCAAATTAAATATCACTCCTGAAAATAATAACAGGACTCTACTGACAAACAAATAACTTCAAATTTAGTAGTAAAAAACGTAGACGATAATGACGAGCAAAGTAAATATCGACCAGAAGATAAAAATAGTTTTGCAAAGTCCTATCAAATTGCCCGATGTATGCAAACATTCAATTTATTAAATAAAAATTGATATTCTTTGTAGAATACATACATGAATTCTATAATAAAGTCAATTTCAATTATAATTTTTTATAATGAAACCACTTTTAGTAGGCCTATAATATTTTGTAATGTTTGTTAAGAGTATGAACCTGATTATCATAAAAAATTTATTAAAATTGTCAAAAAAAAACTTTTCGTTTAAGTAAATCTATTTACTAATAATAAATATCTTGCCATGTCGTCCGAACCTAACACAAGGCTTTCTCATACATTTTAACTTAGGTTTCGTAATGCATGCAATGGTAAGCGTTACTTCAATATTTTCAGATAATTGTTTTGTATTAACTATCAAGATAAAACTTTAAACTATTTATTACGATAATATTTTTCTTACATGTTATATTAAATTAATATTTAATTTTATCAATTTCTATTAATTTCAGGTATGGTTTCAAAATCGGCGCGCAAAATGGCGAAAAGCTGAACGTCTGAAAGAAGAGCAAAGGAAGAGGGATGGAAATGCGAATATTACGGATTCCATCAATTCCAGCGACAAGGTAAATATTGATAATAAAATGTAATATTGTTTAAATAATTAATTTAAAGCAACAAATACTCATATTGATAAATCAGTTGTCCTCTCTGTGCGTGGACAGCTAAAACCTTGTTGATTATTTTATATAATTTTACTATTTGTGTTTAAAATTGAAATTATAATCATTCTTGAAATTATTTAAATTATTGTATTATAAAGAAATTAAAGACAAAAAAGATTGAAGAGATATTTAAAGATATTTTAAATATAAGACTTATTAATATGTTAACTAAATGGACATAAATGATATGTATATATATAAAATATGAAAATTTTATATATAATATATAATGTTCAATAATCTTGTATCCATGTCTGACTAAGATATGAAAATAATATATCAATTAAAAAAAATATTAATGAAAAATTAACATTTTTGCTAAAAAAGAGTTTCAATAATGATAGCTTTTTAAGTGGCAAATAATGTGGATATTTGAATTATGCAAATTTTCAAATATTTTCCCATAAAAACAATTGTACTAAATTTATTTGTTTGCATTTAATGTAATAAAACAACATTACTTTCCCGGTTCAAATTGGAATACTGTATTATTTATTTATACAGTATTAATTATTTATTAAATGATGGCCGAATATATATTTGTTAATACATAATAATTTTATTAAGTTTCAGAGAATTGTCTGTTCTTTTCTAATAAGATGTTTTAAATTTTACATATATTTAATTCTTATTTTCAGATTGAGGATAGAAGTAGATCTAGCACCCCCTTAAACGGTCCTGTCTCACCGGGAAGTCCCGATCCAGATAATATTACAAGGCCAGGATCAGGTAAATATTCATTTTTAAATTCCAAAAGTTTGATTATATTTTAAATATTCAGATAATAAGTTTAAAATTTGGGTTTTTTATGTATAAACATTTTTGGAGGAAAAAATCTAATTTTATATTAACCATCAATTAGTCTCCAACGTTTCATTTTTCTGAAAATTTGGATTTATATTTAGTTTTGCAGTAATTTTGAAATATTTTACTCATAGTACATTAGTTGAATAATGTATTTCTCAAATTAAAACTAGTGGGGTGGGTAGCATCGTGCCTTAAGGCAAATTGCTGTAACTTCCCGTACCGTAACGAAATATTCGAGGAATACTGAATGTTTTCAAATAGATTATTATAAATATTGTTACATTGTCTAATATTTATAAGAATTATATAAACTGAATTGCAAAGTTGAAATTATTTGTTTCAACAAAAAACTAAAAAAAAAAAAAAAAAATGGAACAAAAATTTTTTTTTCCAAAATCAATTATTTTGTTAAGACAAGCAGAAAGTTTTTTGAATCATTCAAATCGGACGCTTAGTTCTCTCAAAAACTGCCATTTTTTACATATTTAGCTCCGTATCTTCGAAATGGCTGGGCCTGCCTTTGCCAAAAACTAATAAACACTTTTCCCAATCATTACTAATTGAATGTTTTTTAGATCATTCAAATCGGATACTCCGTTCTCTCAAAAATTCGATTTCTATTTTCCGCACTCTTTGCTCCGTATCTCCGAAACGGGTAGACCTGCCTTTGCCAAAAACAAATCAGCTCTTTTCCCTATCAATAGAAATCGAATGTTTTTTGAACCATTCAAATCGGTTGATCCGTGCGCCCTAAAAAGTGACTAAAAATTTGTATCCACACATACATACACACACACACACACATACACACACACATACACACACACATCCATTTTTTCTGAGGTATGCCAAAATGTTCAGAAACCTTCAAAACGTCGAGAAATGTAAAAATTTTCAATTCCGATTTTCGGCCCATTACAATAACTTACCCTACGGGAAGTTAATAAAAAACATTAGAAAGGAAGTTTAAAGAAAGTTTTAATTTAATAGGATAAGATTAGATTTGATTCAATTAGGATTTTAAGAGATTTAATATAATTAGAATAGGATTAGATTTATGGCTTTTGTTTTGTTGAAAAAACGAGTAATTATAAATTTGATGTGAAATTCAAGAACTATTTAAAAAAAAATAGTAAGATGAAAATAGTTAGAAATTAGATTTTTAGAAAAATTAAGTGGTAAAAATATAAGTTGCCAAATATAAAAAATAATATTGATCAATTTCGGTTGAGAACTAAATACATACATACATACACACACATATATATATATATATATATATATATATAAATGTACGTGCATTTATATAAATCGTCCTAAAAGGAAGTAGATATACATCCCTTTTATAAAAGTGATACGTTGATTCTCCCAAAGAATTTGTTCAAGTCAGAAAACGAAACGGAGGCATTACATCATCCGGCTACAATTTCATTTAAAGATGAAGATATAATAAATATAAACAGTGAATATATATATATATATATATATATATATACATTATTCGAAAAAATAAACATATTTGAAAAGATAAACACACTAAATATTTTTGCATAAACGACTTACGATTTGCGTCATCATAGGTGCAAATGTCATTAAAAAAAAACTACGAGTCAAGATACTGAAATTTTTAAATAAAATTTTTAAATTTAAATCGTCAATCAGATATCATTCTATGAATATTACATTTTAAGGAAAAAGCATATATCTTACTGTATTGCATTTACTGTGGTTGTTTCACTGGAGATTAGTCAAATGAGAACGTGAAACGTATACAAAACAAGCTTGTACTTTGTACAGTTCGTTTATTTTCAATTGCAATATTTATAAATAATAATATTAACAAACTTCAAGCCATATTTTGTTATAAAAACAATATAAAATAAATCAAAAATTATAAAATAAAGTTAATAACAATACAATACTTAAAACATTAAAAATATTCTAAATACAAAATACAATTTGTAGGTAATTTAAAATAAACATAATATTATAATTGAAGTGTTTTACAACAAATAGGCCCTTCAAAAATCAAATCGAACAATAATTGAAAAAACACAACATTTTTATTTTTATACATATGTAATATATGTAAATTATTCATTTTTATTTTTTCAGCAAACTCGATCCTCCAACAAACTCCAAATTCATCACCGATTCGTTCCCAAGATTTGAATCATTCGAGTGATAACCCTCACGACCCCAACGGGGGCACCACAGATACGTCCCTGACTGATGGGGGGCCCGCTCATAGGGCTCCAGAAATACTCGGAGGCGTCGATGTGACACGAAACGCTTCGGCGACACCCGAACATAGGATAAATAGGTAATAATAAATTTATAAATATATAAATAAATAAATACATGCATACGTACATGCGTGTCTATTAGGGTGGTCCTTATTATGGATATTTTCGAATTTTCTTGCTCCCAAGGGCTCAAACGCTTCTAAAATGATAAAGAAAAATTGTGTAAAAGTTTGAGTTCTTAATATTAACATTTAGATAGTCCGCAAACCAATTAAAAGTTCATTAAGTAAAAGTACATTATGTGATAGCATTTATTTAATAAGTAAATAGTTAAAATTATATAATTATCAATAAATTATTGTGAATTTTATATCGAATGGAAAAACAACTATTGAGTTATTTTTTCCAACATGCCCTTGTAGTAAACAAGGTCCCTTTTCGGCCGACTATTGTAAATTCATCAAATTTATTGAATGTCCTTTATTGGACAGTTGTTAATAAAAGAGATAATGAAAAAAATGTGATAGCATTTGTGAACTCAAATATTATGACACTTAAAAATATTTATGAAACACTTAACCTCTAAATCCATTGGGACTGTTTAACGAAATATTTTTTTAAAAAAGCATGTTTATATTATAAATATAAAATAAATACACATATAAGTATATTTTACAATGAAATTACTTATTTAATGATTGCTAATTTAATTTTCATGCAGAAAGCATTATTTCAAGCTCTTTTTAATATATATTAAACATTAAAACCATTGTATTATTTAATAAAATTTAATTTAATATAATAAACACACTGGTTATTAATTTACTACGAATAAATCTAAATTAAATTTATAAATACTGAAATGTAGGAATTTTTAACTTTGGTAAATTCGAATTTAAATCATTTTATCCCTGATATATTGCATGAAAACTGTTTTATTACGATGGCATCGAAATTAATTCTGCAGCAAAATATTTATTTAATTAGTGATGTAGACACTCAAGTTATCAGTAATAAATTGCCATTAAGTCTGCTATCACTTTTTTTTTAATTACAATATTTATTACAACTGTTAAATAATATAACATATAGCAATAATGATAAATAATAACAAATTTAAATAAGAGTACAAAGGATAGAATTTACATTAAAATCATATGCGTAGTATGATGATTTAATATAAAATAAAAGCAAATAATAACAATAAAATTAATAAATAAAATAATATTTCTGAATAATAAAATAATACTAGAAAAACGAAATATAACAAAATAACAATTAAATTACAAGTCTGCTATCACAAATGACGCAAGAATTTACTTAATAATATATGTGAAAAAAAAATTTACGAAACATTTAATTGAATTGCGGACTAACCTGATTTTTTCGATTTATCTGAATTTATAATGGAAATATTGAAGAATTGAAGAACTACTTACTCATTACAACAATCTATCCAAATTCTGTTTATTTCAACAAAAATATTTAACAAAATCCATTTCTGCGGTAATTGCGTAAAAACAACACGATTTGGTGTAATAATAAACACACCGCATGGAAGTTTTTAACACGCCTTACAACGTGTTACTATTTTAACACGAAGACGAGTGTTAATTTCAACGATCGCATTAAAATTTAAAATGTCTATATTTTGTACTTATAATTTTAGTCGTGTATGAAAAAATATTAAAGAAATTGTAAATCTTAATATTATTGGCGAGGATTGTGGATAAAACTGTGTCAATATTACTGTGTTACGTAACTACTGTGATTCATTACATTTATAAATTGAAGAAATAACTTTAATAAAACTAAATATTTCACAAAAGAAATTTTAAATGTTTACATTGGTTTTATCGATAAAATAAAATAATAACCTGACACTATATTTTATTAGGATTTTCAATAAATGTTTTAATAAATTTTGATTAGATTTCTATTAGAGCTCGTTATTTTTTCGTTTTTATTAATTTCTAAAAGTATTACTATTATATAATAATGTTCAATTTCTATATATTTTCAATAAAATATTTAATTCAATATAATAAAAATTATTTATATTCAATTTAGAATTTTAGTTTTTCAAATTTAGTTAATTTTAAACGGCCTTAAAATAAAATAAAAAAAATAAAAATATGTATCATCTAAATGTTAATATCTGCAGTCAACTCTGACACGTACCTTTAATATAAAATCCTCGATCCACATGCTATGCAACACTTACTAATCACAATCTATTACAAAACACAAATTTTATTATCACCAACGGCCCTGATTCTTTTCGGCACGTGAACACGTAAAGGCGTCGACCCGGTGCTTCGGCGCCGGGTCGAAACGCCTAAGATGTAATGCCTACTGAATGCAGACACCAAATGAAAGAATTCGTCGAGAATTGTTATAAGGTAAACTCGTATAGACCATAGATAGTTGTGAAGATAGGAACCTTGGTTAGTATCGATATCGATGCAATTGCCCTCTGTCGGTGTCATTGAAAATACTATGACACCTGAGCTGACAGTTGAGCGAAAATGATCTGTCAAGAAGAGCGCGCAAATGATCTGTCAATTTTTTTGAAAATGAATTTTATGTAAATGTTATGGAATTTTTAATAACTAGCTGTAAATGCGACTTATTTGATGGTTTTTGCTTTTTTATGTCAATTACAATAATAATACAATAGTTTTTTGCATTAGATTTATTGTGATTTTTTTCAAATACAATATATATTTTACGATTACTAAGAAATACTTAGGCAAAAATAACATTTTTGGTTTTTCTAGTGCCTTAAAAAGATGTTTGAAAGTTGATTTGTTTGAAAGGAAATATTTAGAAGAACTGTAATTAATCATTGATCAATTTTTGTTGCAATTTGCCTTAAGGAATACCTAATTTTATTGTATTTTTCTACTGAAACATTCTATTTAAGCAACTGCATATAAATATTGATAAATTACTTACTTAACCTCTAATGAAATCTATGTGGGCTGTTTAACGAAATATTTAGTCATCATGACATCAAAATTAATTCTGCAGCAAAATATTTATTTAATTGGTGATTTTGACACTCAAATTATCACTAATAAATTTTCCATTAAAATTACAAGCCTGTTATCACAGATGGTGCAAGAATTTACTTAATGATATATGTTAATAATAAATATACGAAAGTTTTAATTGAATTGCGGACTGTCTAAATATTAATATTTGAAGCTAAAACTTTTAGAAGATTTTCTTTTATTAATTCGGAAGCGTTTGAGCGTTTGGGAGCAAAGAAATTCGACAATGTCCATATTAAGGACCACCCTAGCTTGTAATTGTCGCTGGTTGTATTTTAGGGATTTCACAATTAAACACACTTTTACACATGATTTGCCATTTACGTTTATTATATAAAATTTACATAAAATATTCTAAATTTCATTGACGTTCACAGAAGATTAGCAAATGATTGAAAAGATGATTTATAAACTTTTACATTTTGGAGGTTACTTTTGAAGATGTTGCCGAATTTAAATTAAACTAAAATCCTTAGTTAAACATAATTACAAAGATCTTTCCAGAAGGATTTTTCACGCATCTGTATGAGTGAATTACTGGGAACAAAATATAATATTTCAATAAAGTTTAATAATCTTTCGTAATACTAAATTAATTATAAAATTATAGCAGAGATGCACAATAATATATATTCGATAATGTCCATATTAAGGACCACCCTATAAATAAATAAATATATATATATATATATATATAAATATAATTATATATTATATAAAAAAAAATATTTTCTTTCACAGGAGCCCCATGTCTTCGGTGAGTTGTCATTCACCCTTGGAGACGGCTGCCCTTAGACATCACGTTGCCCTCGGACCGCACTTTGGACACCATATATTTTCAGGATTTAGCGAAAGGTAAGAAAGGCACTTGCATAATTCCTAAACTTATTCATGGACAAACGGAAGAGCAAGGACAAAAAATATCAATTTATTTCCTAAAGCTTACTATTACTTGAAGTTTTATTTCATTATCATCAATTTGCCAAAAGGCAGAATTCTTCCAAATATTATTCAATAATATTCAATCATAACCCCCAAAAGCGAGTCCTTTACATCCATTAATCCATCCCTTACAAAAGACATCGAGACTGACTTCTCGCACGTGTCATCGTAAGGGAAACAATCGAAACGGAAAGAATGAATACTTAAAAACCTCTTGTCATCGCGCCTGCGCTCACAATATAAGGGGCGGCTTTGAAAGGACCGCGCCCTCTCCGAAAAAGGGCGACCGAGAGGCTACGTCTTTATCGGGGAATCACTTCTTTTGTGATGGAATTGACACTGAATGGGATGATGTTTATAGATTTAGTAGGTTGGGGGATGATACAGCTATTAAGTCATTAAGGATTGCTTAATAGTCGGCGCTGATTTAGGGGAAACTGTGTGGAAAATGTGTAAAATAAAATATTTAGACATTTGTTGAGCAATTTATGAGGTCAATTCTGCAGCAACGTAGCGTTGTTATGGCAATGCTGTCTTATCCTTCTTTCTTGGTAGTAAAAATTATCTATTAGATGTACAAATGAGGCGTATTAACCTCCCGTAGGGTAAGTTACTGTAATCGCAAAAAAATCAAAAATGAAAATTTTTATACATTTCAAAGGTTTCTGAACATTTTGGCGTACCTTAGAAAACCCCTGAATGCACAGCATATACATGATATTTTGATAGTATTCATGTATGATTCAGTAGCATGATGTTTGCAAGTAGGAGCGTAACATGGTCTTGCCATAACATTGGTCTGTTGTGAGGCAGAATAGGCCGATTTAAAACACAAAAGAAAGGATTCTACTGTCGAGCAAATTAACTAAAAATTATTTTTTAAATAGTAATTTAAAATAAACAGAGAAGACTCTACTGACTAACAAACACAATCTCGACAGGAGAACTCTATTAACGTATCTCTTAGACTCTACTGACGAACTAACTGAATTTTAAGAAAAAGGACTTTACTGACGAGCAAACTAAATTAGAAAAAGGACTCTACTGACGAGCAAACTGAATTTTATGAAAAAGGACTCTACTGACGAGCAAACTAAATTTCATGAAAAAGGACTCTACTGACGAGCAACCTAGATCCAAAAAAGGAACTCTACTGACGAGCTAACTGAATTTTATGAAAAAGGACTCTACAGACGAGCTAACTGAATTTTAAGAAAAAGGACTCTACTGACAAGCAAACAGAATGTTAAGAAAAAGGGACTCTACTGAAGAGCAAACTGATCTAGAATTAAAAAAAAAGACTCTACTGACGAGCTAACTCAATTTGAAGCAACGTGCATTTTTAAAAAATAAGACAAATCGACTTCTATATTATTACTAGCTGTACCCGTTCACGCTTTGCCGTGATTTAGTTTAAATTAAACAGTTGAACAAAGTTGTGTATTTTTTACATTTAGTTTAACGTTACTACTATATCTTATATTACTTTAATTTCTGGCACATCTCAGCTGCTTTTTGGCAATAATAATGTAGACATTTCATTTTCTTTATTCATAATCATAAATTTATGATACACATTCTAACATTGTCTAGGTGCATACGTAAATTGAAATTTTTGGCAAATGATAATTTTCATTTGTTTGCAATGCAAACAATGACATGTCGTTTTTTGCAATTTTTGCTATTTGTTTCTATAATATTGCACATACATCCCAGTACTTTATAATCACATACATCCTAGAAAATTTCCTTAACAAACTTCAGAAAGATTTATCAAAATCCGAATAATCGTTTAGGAGGAGTATACAGTGAGTGCTTGTAATTTGATATGAACTTTATATAATAGCAATAAAGCTCAAATTGATTCTACGTTTTAGTTAGAAAACGTTTGTATGAGAAAAAGAAAAGGGCTGTTTTTAAGGTTTTCCCGGCAATTATTCGATTTTTTCTCGCCCTAAGAACCATCTTTGGACTTCAACGAATATTAAAAAAAAAAAAAAATGGCCAAATTGGTCAAGGAGTTGTTGAGTTATGCGCTTACCAACACATTTTGCGATCCATTTTTATATATAAGAAGATTATATTAATATTTTTTCACTATTATCACAAAAGTGGCAATACTCCCCCTTCGCCCTATTTATTACTCAATAAAATAAAAACCATCGTATCATTACACAAAACTTTCGAGAGGACAATAAAAGTTGCGCGTCTTCCTGCTTCCTCTGACGTTAGGCACGTGTCACCATTCATCGGAATGACTTCCGAGGCGGCACGTGCCATCGATGCTGCCCGATGTCACACGAATGGAAATATCCGTTTGATTGAGGAAAAGAATATGGGAATTGTTTCTTAGGGGAATGGAGAGATGGGATTTGATGTCGCAGTTTTATAATTTTATGTGAAATTATTTTTGTACGTCCTGAATGGTTAGTTAGAAATGGTAATAGGATTTTATGTCGCTTTGGAATTTTTATGATTTACAAGGGTGGTCCTTATTATGGACATTTTTAGTTAAGTTTCAAGTTATACCTAAAAACATTTTTAATATCCAATTTTTTTCTATGCTATTTCCATACGAAGTTTGATTGAGTTGCGCACTATCTAAAAGTAAATATTAAGAGCTAAAACTTTTAGAGAATATTTTTATATCAATTTGGAAGCATTTAAGCCCTTAGGAGCAACAACATTCAAAAATGTCCATATCAAGGACCGCCCTAATGAATTACAGTCTTTCTTTCAAGTAGTATTGTCAGTGTGAGTGAAAAATAGGGTTTATACGAAAACCGACATTTCAGAAAACCGGTTTTTGAATTTTAATTTCACTAAAAAACCGGTTTTAACCGGTTTTCGAATTTTATATAGAAAATAAATTTTTGCTCGAATATTCTGTAATTTATCCGCAAATTTAGTGTAATTTAGAGCAGTATTTGACTGAATTTATTTATTGTTCAATTTTATAGAATGTAAACATAATTATTTTAATTTTAATTAGTAGAACTAAAAATAATAATAGTTTATCTTGATTAAATAACTTTGAAAATAATTATTCGTTATTCATGCATCATTTTCACATATAAGAATGAAAATATTTTTATGATAGTGAAAGGAAAATTTTCGAATGAATAAAAATAATACATTTTTAAATAAAAAACATTCATTAAATTAAAAAAAAAATTAAAAAATTTTAGATACATGTCGATACATACTTGTTAATATCAATTTTAGTTTTAAAAA